ATATATATATATATATATATATATATATATATATATATATATATATATATATATATATATATATATATTACTCAATTGCAATGTTTTAAAAGGCGAGGGCATGAGGCGAGACGTTTTAGACAGTACAAGGCAAGGGTAAGCTTTGAGACACGGCGTGTAAGTCCCACGGACTATGAGGCATAGTCTCATGTATATTCAATTTTATAATTTTATTACTAATACTGTAAGCAAAAGTAAACCTTTCAATGATTTGTTGTTTTGATTTGAAATAAGTATTAATAATCAATAATGAAGAAAAAAAGTATTATAATTACTATTTGAGAATTATTATTACACCAATAATAAAAATATGATTTAAAGCAAGAAAAAAAATTTAAAAATAAATTTAAAGCGCCCGAGCGTACGTTTTACGCTCAGGACTTGCTTTTTTAAGCTTGGGGCTTACACCTCAAAATTTAGGACTTACGCCGAAAATTTTATAAGGACTTATGCCTTATGGATCTACGTATTTAATTTACACCCAGAGCGTTCTTGGTACGCCCCGTCCCAAGATTTGCCCCAAAAACATTTTTGAAAACAATGCTCAATTGGATGAGATCATAGGCTGACTATTAAGGATCTTGTTCCGGAGGCTACTATTGGATGTATCGAGGGAGGAAACTCGTAGTTGTTATGTCAAATCCAACAAGAAATTTTTTTATTAGGTATTACACCTATAATACTCGTTAAATTTAATATTATAATATGGATAAAATACACCCCTAATTAAACAAAATAGTAACATATAACGATTGATTAAACTAGACTAATAGTACAAATTTATTTTACACCAATAGCATAGGAATCAAAATAGCTAGATTCACAAGAAATCTAGTAGTGTGCAATAATGTCTTTGACTAGATCTATGTCTGGTTAACTTATTAGTTATTGGTTGTAATATTAACATACATGTGAAATATCACATTATATTACTTGTTTATAATTCTGCCAATTGCATCTTAAAGTTGTGTGCTTCTTTGAGATAAGATCCTCTTTGTCATTCAATATCAGATCTAGCAAAGGAAAAAAGAACTATTAAATATAAGTTCTTGTCTCCCTAAAGAATTAAAATAACATAAATATAAATACATGTCTAATCTTGCAACATGAGTAAAATACACCCTTAAATTTTTATCAAGTTTGAGAATACTTGATATGTCATGAGACAGATCAGTATGTAATTAATCAAGTAAAGAGATATTTTTAAGGCTATTAATAATTCTAAAACGCAGTTAATAATTTGTGCCAAGTTTAAATGTGTTTACAATACTTCTCCGATCTTTAATGAATGATTTTTCACTATTACTATTCCAAGAGTAAAAACATTTTTTTAAAATTATAATTTTCTCAAATATTTTTTACTATAAATAAAATAACTAAATATTCATAGCACATTTGGAGGAAAGGTCAAATTTTTTGCCCTTGTAATGTGAAAAACTAAGTAATTTCCCCCACCTTTTGAATTTTGTTATAATATTACCTCCACTATTAGGAAAATCTCTCATTTTGCCTTGTCCTAACTGTAATTTTAAACTATAGGAAAAAGTTGAAACGTAAATTTAAATTTTTATTCTCGAAGAACTTGAATACGTAAAGTTCATTCACTTTACGCTGAAGTTTGATTAATGACAAAAACAAATACGAGTTTGAATTTGTGAACGACAATGATATGAATGAACCAAAAGTTGAACGAATGTCAAAGTTGTTAAGATAACAAAAGGGCAAACATGAAAATTTCAACCACAACAACAACAAAATAAGTAGCCAACAAAACTTTTATTGGTACAAAAGAATAAAGAATTCTACTCATTTGATTCATTAAAATCTTGAACTCTTGCATTCAGCAGAAAAGCCTTGAGGAAACCTCTTAGAATCAGCACAGTAATTGTAAACCATGTGTTTGGTCTGCACCCATCGTAGTCTATTCCGTCCCTTACCATCAAGTTCATGTGTCTGCCATGGCTTCGCGTTGTTTGTTGAACCGATAGACTTACATGTAGAGGC